GAGCAGATCTTATTATTCATTCCCACCGCGAGATTGAAGTCTTGTTTTCGACCCTGAAAAACCCACCTTTTCCGTTAGCTCAGAGCATAAAACTACATGTAAGCGCCCTGGTTCGTATTACCTACCTTATGCCCTGCCATCGCTGTGAAAAATACGCAAGAGAATCTCTCCGGCAACTCTCACCATTTGATCACGCAACGTGACAACATCCACGCGAGAGCCCCCGACATGTACGTGAATCCGCGCGGAAATATGACGTCTGGATGGCGCAATTTGTTCTAAAAATAGAAAAATTGTTCCATATCATAGGTGCGCGCGGATCCCAAGACTTACGGTCTCTGTCCCCGATTATGGCTCCTGTTCACAGTTATGGATAATCTTGCCTACGAGAATTATTAAAAGCCACCCAGTGTTTAATCATTTATTGCGTTTAAGGGAACCTGGACTAAAAAATACGGTTTTGTTCGAGATCACAAGTTGGTGTTTGAGTTAAAGTTTCTGTGATTTATAGTAGATAATTCTTAGCCTGTTTTAAATGCTGGGCGTCCCACTTCTGCTATTTTAGGATTTTAAATTTCCCGCGTTCCCCCAAGATTATTTTTGCAAAGCTTGATGGGAGATTATGACGTCATAGCGCGGTTGGACGTTTTTGAAATGCAGCATTGCGTGAATCATGAGATATAAAAGTGCTTCTTTATCGTTTAGAGTTCATATTTCGGATGAATTTGTACAGTTCCGACGAGAAATGTTCATCATGAGATCTCTGACCGCGCAATGACGTCATAATTTACGATAAAGTAAACATGGCGACGCCCAGGTGATTTAAACTAAAACTAAGCACTTCGTATTCAAACCACTCCCAGAGATACCAACTTAAATCCCCAGGATCAGTTAAAGAGAACCATTAGGTATATTTCGGAACTTAAACTGCTTTTCAGTTAAGATTTTCTTAAACTAACACCGTTGCATGCTCCCAGAATCCATTCTGGCCATGGGCTTTGCTGAGATCTGGTTTGCTCGGGCCAGTCTCACCGCAGTCTAGGAAACCCAAATATCTACGTCCTAATATTTATCCTAAGTTTAAACGTTCGGGTAGCTTTGATAGCAAATAGTAGGATGAAGGTTAAAGTAGAAACAAAGATGACTGATGATGAAAATCTGAAGTTTGAAGGTGTAATGTCGTCCTGTTTGTACTCCATTCGGTTCAACTTTCAAAGGTGTACGACTGCTTCTGTAGAAATTCTAGTGACTGCATTGAGGTGTACACCGTTTTGATTTGCTCTGGTGTCCACACCACAAAGGATCTGGTCATGGACGGAACAGGATCAATTATTGACGAGCAATCATGTATGTAATCTTCGGTACACGTGATTTCTAGGAAGTCGCAGATTTTCCGAAGGTGCTTCGGTGGGTCTCGAACAAAATCTTCGCCTATGATATCAAGGACTCTGTCTCCGAATGCTTCCTTTGTCGCCTGACAGTTCCCAGCGATACCGAAATATCGTTTTATACTGCTATCAATCTCCTTGGAAATGTTGTGCTGATAAATTCAAAAGATAATTAACACCATAAAATATATATGTATCTAACGGAGTTCGCAAAAACATGCCCGCATTGACTCAAAGACAGTCCCAGCCGCCAGAAGTGCTCTGACCACCCCCCTGGCTAGAAGATTGGCCAATCACGCATGCACGTGGCATGGGCCACTCCAGCAGGGTGCCATGTCAACACAGAAGCCTTAAACAAGGTCAAACAACCGAGTAAAATACCCAGAAACACAGTCAACATCAAGCTTATTTAACACTGAAAACTCAAATTCTAGCTAGTTGGGAATGTCAGTAAAAGACACCCTCCCCTCCCCGCTGCTTTTGACAGCTGGCCCCCAGCAAACCACCAGCAGATAGGCCAGTCATTGGGCCATGTGCCCAGCCTAGCCTTGACGGAGCCCCCCTTGGGTTTAAGGTCGCTGGCTTAGCCTGGATTCGGGCGAAGCCCGAATCCAGGCGAAAGTCTAGCGGGCATGTTTTTGCGAATTCGCTTAGATATATATCTGACCTATTGTCCTCACAGAAGGGCACCCCTCTTCTGGTCCCCTTAGTAACATAGGTTCCCCTAGAGAAGCCGCTACTCTAGGGAAGATAGGCTCTGTCTTCCCTGCCACCCATGTTTTGCCACCATAATCAGTGTTTTGTTTCTGTTTCCTGCATCTAACCAGCAAAAGATCTGCCCCTCCCCCTGTGTGGGTGTGGCTTTAATAATTTATACTAAATTGTACAGCAGCAGGGTCTCATTAACTACCGCTTATAAGCCCCCCTCCCGCTTATAAGCCCCCCTCCAGCTTATAAGTCCCCCCAGGTTATAGGCACATCTACCTGTAAACCAAAAAAGCCCCCCCGCCCGGATTTAAGACCCCTCTAACTTTCCTTGTTTTGAATTCGTTTCACTAGGAGCTATCGCCCGAAACCGTTTTGTTTTATTCCGGTTATAAGCCCCCTCGGATATAGGCCCCTCCGTTTATAAGCCCATCTAAAAACCCCTACGAGGTTTACGGTAGTTGCCCGCGGAATTTTGTGTGCAAGAAATGTCCGCCGTAAAGAGCGAGTTTTTCGGAGTTATATGTGGTCACCTTCTCTTTCCTGCTGATCAGCTGGAGAGCATTGTTCATGAGGTTGATGGTCTTTGTTTTCAGTATATAAACAATAGCCTCTATGTGGCGCGAAAATATGCTAGGATATTTGTCCGCGAACATTGTCTCTTCCGAGAAGCGATCAGTTTTCCGAGAGCGTAGCTCGAGGAAAACTGTGAGCTTCAAGGAACAGGTAATGTCCAAGGACAAATATTCGAGGATATTTTCGCACCAAATGGAGGCTATTGTGTTTATTATTCAAATCTTTTTCGCAACGCACGCAGTTTTGTAAATTGGAGAATATTTCTAAACATCCGTGCTCACCTTCTGTGTGTGCTCTCCCGTCCTCAGGCCCAATAGACGCATAGCTAGTGTTGCGATGTTGTCAAATGGATTCCTAATCACGTGAATGAATTTGGCCTTCAGGTTGTAATCATCTTCAATTTGTTTCAGGAGCGATCTGCCCGATTCCTTGGCTAAGTACGCAGCAGTAAACCATCCCACCTTGTCTCCCAGAATCTGTCAAGTGTAGTGAAAATTATAACTCGGCTTTTAGAAACTTAATCTGGGTCGGTGTAAGCATCCATTACAGATGATTTTCAGTCCGTGCTGCGCACTCTCGAGAGTTTGTTTGCGTTTTTTGTTTCGTTTCGACCCTGTTTCATGTAAGACATTACAAAATGTAAACATTTCGCAACTACCTCAATGAAGTAAATTCAAAGTTTCAAAATAACCGCCAATATAGATGTGAAGCGGTTGAAGCTTTATGCTTCGTTCTTTCTCGTATCACTTCATGAAACAACTTCGCAGCTGTACAAATCAATGAAGCTGTTGGAAAAAGAATTTGAAAGGCCTCAAAGATAAGGTACGAGTGCAAAACCGCTTTTTACTTCTGACTGAGAAGCTAACCAATAGCAAAGTTTTGGCTACGTAATTCACGTATATATAGTGTATGAGCATAAAACAAAAGACTGTGCACAGTCGTGGACCTTCTTACATAAATCTTGGCATCTTTGTTTGCTTCTTTGATGTTTGCTGGGCTTCGTAACCATTCCCCTCTATTAAATATGGTGAGGATATGAAAAATGCACCACTCGTGTTTAGGGTGTAGTTTCGATATGAAGTAATTTTACGAGTGGTGTATTTTTCAATAAGACACTGAGTTATTCCGAAATTTAAACCGTTACCTTGAGTGTCCCATCAAACGTTCCCTGCCATTGATTTGGAACTTTGTACCCTGTTTTTACGTAAAATGTGGCGTTTCCCTGCATTGTCAAAGATCTGCGACCTTTGGTGGCCAGGCGGTAAGACAGAGCAGTGATTTTATCAAACATCTCGGTCTTACTCATTCCAGGAAACCTTCCGTAGGTTCCTATCAAGTTCATCTCATTAGACAGCATTATGTTTGGATGAGCGTCCAGGATCGCAGACACAATTGTGTGGCGACTCCTGGGATAGCCAATGAAAAGTAGCGCGGTATCCACGTCATCATATGCAGCTTGCAGCCTTTTGAGGTCGGATTCTCGATCTAAAAAAAAAAAACAGAATGCAAAGTTTTCTCCACCTTTGTGTATCCTAACTGTAACCGTTTGAAGTTTTATAAATGAAAAATCAATTCATGTTATGATTAGCTGATGCAAGCAAGTATTGCATGGATATATGAGATGCCAGTACTTTCTTTATCATTTAGCCACGATAATTATGTTCGTCTGTAAAACGGTTGGGTCAGTAATTGCTGCGTTCGAGAATACTCAATCGGTGCGAAGTTAAATACAGGGGCGGTTGGTGTGGATGGTGAATGCTCAGTGAGTGAATGAAAAGTGGAGATTGATGCACTTGGTGAGATACACCATTTTGCTAATGCTAGCTCCAGTCCCTTGTGGGGGCAAAATTTGATCTATTTTATGAATCAATGAGGCCATTTTTGGCCGAGTGATCACTTCTAACCCCTAAAGGGAATGGAACTAGGAAATATTTGCATGAGCAAAATGGCCGATTATGACATAGTGAATGCGTTGTTGGTGACTACTAGGAGAATGACGGCTCCGACAATTTGTTTGTGCTTAACGGGTGGAAGAGGAGGGACGGGGGGGGGGGGAAGGTGAATAAATGCGTGAGGGCCCTCCTGGTGGGCGAATGAGACTGACACGTGGTTTGCAGTAATAGAAGCGCCACAAACCTCGAAGAAGGTTTAACATTATTGGCTGAGAAAACAATGGAATAAACAACAGAAACAGCGAACCCAGCCCTTAACCAAAACAGGTGCTTGAAACAGGTAGCGAGCGAAATTAATTGTAGGTTCTGACCTCTGTAGACATGACTGAGTGAAAGAATTGTAAAACGTGTGAGTGAAAATCGATAAAAATTCTATTCAGACAGAATAATGCAGCCCATATAGTAAACAGATTGTAAAATTGAACAACTGAAATAATAAACTTTCCAAGCTGTCCTATACGAATACTTCTATATATTCTTATGAGTGGAAAGTGAAACAGCCCCCCCTAGAGAGCTGTCATTAATTACGACAAACAGCAAAATTGCCTCTGATTATGTTTTGTTATCCAGTCTAATCCTTAAATCGATCGAACACAAAACTACAAAAAGCTGCCTCCTATTCATGGCAAACACAACATTCTCACTTTAGTGCAAACGCTAAATAACAAACGGCAAAAGTTTCAAAATGTTTCCAAGAAAACAAATTATCGACATACTACCGGCCAGCATGTGTCAAGGCGTGAGAAAGCGGCTTTTTAGCATATTTTTAATATGTCAGAAGTCATATTTTGGAAAATTATGCATTATTTATTTCATATTTAATTAAAATAGAAAAAAATTATAACCCGGACAGTGGCCGAATTGATAGTTTCCACGACATTTCTGTCCGTGTTAAATTAAAACACAACAACTAATATTGGAAATAAATAGCTATCGTTGATACTTTCTACGACTTCTTCGTTGTGCTATAACTATTTTTCTTCCTTTCGATGTCTTTACTTTGGTCGTCGTGCCTTAAACACAAAATTTCCTATTTTATCTTCGTGAATATTAGACGTTCATCTCATTTAGTTGCAATACCAACCGGACAAAATTCACTTACCAATGCTCCTGCTTTGACGAAGTTCTTTCTGATATAAATGTGTTCCAATGTTGAAGTATAAAGCGATACCAACAAGCAACAAGACAAAACTAGCTATCTTTAAAATTTTAACAGTTATGGTTATTGTTCCCCTAGACATCAGGAAGAATGGCAATATTCAAGCTCAGTTACCGCTGAAGATAAGAAGAAAAAGGTACGAAAACCGTAGATACTGTGATACGAAGGACAAAGGATTCCGAATTGAACGTTCAACGTTCAACGTTTGCAATCAACAGGATTCGCAAAACTCGTGATAGTTCAACACCACAGCAAGGCTCTGAAGGACAGGGATTAACAAACGCGTGTCAAGCATTTCTGAAAAACACTCTTTACAACTTAGCAACGGGAGAGCTTTGGATTGTAAAGCATATCAGATAATAACTCTTCGATTTTGTTCTTTGGCAAATTATACGCTCAGTGATCATTTTAACTCAACGTGAGCACGGTACAAGCCTTAGATAAACTGCATTGCTTTTTACAAAACAAAAGTTATTGAGTTATGCTGAAGACTTCAAAAAAGTGACTGAGCGTTGTATTTAATATTCATTTTGAACTGCTTTAAGTAATATTCATGTGTTATCTTTAAAATCGCATGACTCGTATATATTATTCAAAACTAGACGCTCTAAGAGCGTTTACTCGGGCTTCGTACCACAGTATGAAG